AGGGTCAAATTTCACCGGGCTTTTCGTCTCAATCACAGTGCACATTTCCATCCCGGGCGGTCACAGCGAAGAGGCAAAGACGGCACCTCCTCGTCTTCCTCTTCTGTGGCATCGCATGGCCCGACTCCCATGCTTGACCCGTCCACCAACACCAATCCTCTTTCGGGTGGTGTCGATCATCAGGACATGGTGGACAGCGAGCCTTGGCAAGCCGAAGAAGAAGAAGAAGAAAATTCAAACTGACGTTTCGAAACATACTTTCTATATATCGAACTCGCAAATGCGGCTGAGGCTGTATGCTCGGAATGAGGTACGTCTGGGTTTTTCTTGTCGCATGCAGATGTTGACGGTCTCGATACATATAGAGACAGATGCTCCAGTGGATAACGGCCTTTGAGCGGGTGGCTGCTGCCTCGCATTATACGGGAACCAACAGGTTTGATAGCTTTGCTCCGATACGGCTAAACGTTGCAGCTCAATGGCTTGTTGATGGGGTGAGTCGCCTCTATCTTATTTATGTGGCGTTTGCCTCAATTAAATATTCAAGCGTGACTATTTCTGGAATCTATCCCGCGCTATCCTGCTTGCAAGAGAAACAATTTACATTCATGATTGGTGGCTGTCACCAGGTAAGAATAGTACGACGCCATATCGCTATATCTGACATTGTTCTAGAGCTTCAGCTTCGTCGGCCTAATAAAGAGCGTTATCGACTAGATCGTTTGCTGGAGAGGAAGGCCAAGGAAGGTGTCAAGATTTGTATCATTGTCTAGTGAGTTCGAGGTTCTTACTCGTGACTTTCAAAATATCGATCGGATGTCAACAGCAAGGAAGTTTCGAGTCGGACAACCCCGACAGATAGCAAGTGAGATTCGTTCTCTGCTTCTTGCCGTCGTTCTCATCAAAATGAATCAGTTATAAAAAGCAGCGTCTAGCGTCCCTACATCCTAACATCATGGTTCAGCGCTCCCCGTCACATTTCCAGACAGGTACTTTCTATTGGGCACATGTAAGTCCCAAGATTCTTCTCACTTTCATTTTGTTTAATGCGTCTGGTGGCAGCATGAGAAGCTTTGCGTCATAGATGAAGCTATCGCTTTCATGGGAGGACTCGATGCGTGCTTGGAAGGTATGATTATCATACTATATCTACATTTTTTCTGTTGATACGTGGTTCTTAGGTGGGATACTCCCCAACACGCAGTTACAGATGATGCTGAAGACGAGTCATCTCAAGTATGGCCTGGTAAGTGAGAATTCCTCTCCTTTGACGTTTTCTAAGCCACTTGGCATTTGGACAGGCAAAGATTATAGCAATGCTCGTATTTCGGACTTCCATACGCTCAATAAACCTGAAGAGGATATGTATGATCGTACGAAGATACCTCGCATGCCCTGGTGAGCTAATTTCTGTAACGCTTTGCAGGCGCTGATTCCACTTACAGGCATGATGTTGGTATGCAGGTCGTGGGGCAACCTGCTCGCGATCTGGCTCGGCATTTTGTGCAAAGGTGTGTTGTTGTCTGGTAAGTGTTTACTGGTATTAATGTGCCCTGTCTTTAGGTGGAATTATCTTTTGAGAATCAAGGTACGCATCAAAACGCGTTGATTTGTGTCTGCGCTGTAGGAATTATTTTAGAACCATTCTCGAGCCATGCCATTCCTCTTGCCACCTCCGGAGTTCAGACCTGGCGAACTGACGCAGTTGGGTTTGACCGGTACTTGTGAGATGCAGATCTGCCGTTCTGCAGGACCCTGGTCTTTAGGTACCGCAAGCCGTAATGAACATTCCATCCAAAATGCGTATCTCAAGGGTCTGTCCAATGTTGTCGACAACGTCAATACCACTGAGTTTTTTTTTTTCAAATAGCGATTCAAATGTCAGAACACTTCGTGTACATCGAGAATCAGTTCTTCATCACCTCGTAGGGTTGTTTATGCGCCTTTTACGCTTAATTGACTCGTGATGCTAGTACCACCGTTAACGATATCAGGATTGAAAACAAGATCGGCGACGCCTTGGTACACAGAATAATCAAAGCCCATCGCGATGGAACCCCCTGGAAGTGCTGCGTGGTGATTCCTTTACTCCCAGGCTTCGCGTTCGCTCTAGATCATAGCGATGGCAGTTCTGTTAGATATGATATCTATGTCTGTTTTCGTCCTTTCTGACATCTGACCTCAGATCCGAATCATCCTCGAGTGTCAAAATCGTACCATATCCAGAGGTCCTAATTCAATATTCGGGAGGCTTAGGAAAGAAGGCATCGACGTGAGTGTTTCCATCTTCATTGCTGCTTTCTATTATATATTACACCCAGCCCGATGACTATATTACTGTATTCTCCCTTCGTAACTGGGGCAAGCTGAGAGACGTATTGACAACCGAGCAGGTTAGAAGTATCATAATTTGGGCGTCAATTGTACTCATTGCAACTTAGGTCTACATCCATGGAAAGGTTTGCATCGTGGACGACCGGCTTGCCATTATCGGAAGCGCAAACATTAACGAAAGATCTCAGAGAGGGGACAGGGACTCTGAAATCGCGGCAGTAATTCGAGATACTGATATGATCGATTGGTTTGTGGGAAATATTTCTTCGTCCGGGCGATTCTGACATTTACTTTAGTACTATGGCTGGGAAGCCTTACAAAGTCGGACGTTTTGCTCACACCCTTCGGGTCCGGCTGATGAGAGAGCACATCGGTGTTGATGTCGATGCTTTGTATGAGGAAGACTTAATGGCTTCTGATCCCGCAAAACCTGAGCATGAGCCAGTACCTTCGAATTCTAGTGGCGAACAGCACCGCCGGCAGGAGAATGGTATTGTTGAATCCTCGGTAACTGACAGTTCATCGCATACAGCGTCAGACAACGTTGGGAGAGGTACGCTCGGCTTTTGTTGTAGTTGCGAGGGGCTTATTTTCTGTAGCCCCGAATGGTTCGTCAGAAGCAACCGTCCACACTGCAACCCAGGGCTCGGCGGAAACTGACGATGACCTGAACACGGCGTTTCCGAAAAACACCCGTACAGGAAAAAATGTACCGAGTGCCACGCTCGAAGAGAAAGTTGTTCAAGATTATCTCAACGGAGACGGGCCACCCGCCAATGGCCATGCCCCAAATGACAAGGCTCAGGACATAAAGCGGAAGTCCGAGGACAGGACATCTCCAAACGGTGCTCCACATCAAGCTCTCCCCTCGAACGGGAATCTTCACGGGACACCCGTCGATGCCTATAGATCTCCCGAAATAGATGATCAATCTCCGCATGTCCGTACGGGGACAGAAAGCGGGGAAGATGACGAGCGTACGGCGCCAAGAGCACGTTCAACACTCCGTAAAAATCTGGGGAGCAAGCTAGGTCAAAACAACAAATGGACTGTCCCAACTCCTCGACCTCATGTTGATCCCAATGGTTTTGAGGATCCTGTATCGGATGCATTCTGGAAGGATGTTTGGGTTGCATGTGCTGTCCATAATGTATGTCGACAAAACGTTTCCCTCCTTGTGGTGACCCACTGAGCTAATACCTCCATTAGACGGAGATATATCGGAAAGTGTTTCATGCTGTTCCGGATGACCTCGTCACTACTTGGAAGCAGTACAAAGAGTTCGTATTGCATCACGAGCGCCTGAATAAACCAGTAAGAATAGCCTTCTCTTCGAGAATTCAATTAAACATGCTAATAACCATATTTAGGCTGCAGATTCGACTACTCTTGAGCCAGTCGGAAGAGTGCCGTCCGAGACTGGAGACGACACCATTCCTTCTAATGAAGCCCCAACTCCTGCCGAACATGTAACAGAGCACTCTGATGGTCATGTGCATCTGAATGAAGAGCCAGATCTGAATAGCTCTCCTGGCGTAGCGGACAAGGAGCCTGCCCGTGCTCGTTCTCGGTCTACTCGAAGCACGGAGCCTTTTACGAAGGCGGAGCGAGATGAAATGGAAAATTGCTGGGCGAGTTGTGCGGACATTTGGGTAAGACAACCGTTCTCGCTACAAACGAGATACTAAGCACTGTCCTCAGTGATATATCCCAACCGCTTTTTGGAGGGCGAGGACGTTGCGAATAATTTCTTATTCAATGCCGATCGGTGCGTGGAATCCTGTTATTATGTCCCTCTAGAAGCCCATTAACGATTTGTCCAGGCTCTTGCCCCTACCTATTTACGACTGATCGTTCTGCTTTCTGTACTATGTTGAATGGTGCCTAAGGGTTGTTTAATTTTACACGATACTACAGCTGTTCCTTTGCATTAACTCCTTCAGATTTAATGTCTTCACATGACGGAAAAGGCAATCACCGCTTTGAAGGATTTGGAACGATTTGCCCACCCTGTGGCGGTGGCAATCTATTTCTTCGCCCATCCCCGGGTTTAGAAAGTTTTCTAGAGTTCAGTAGATATGTAAAACGGCCGTTTAACCTTCTATCTGGGCGATTTCTCGACCGAGAATTTTGATACAGTGCTTTGAATCGCCTCGAACAGCCTTGGCTTGCGGCGAAAAGCGGACGTGATGCATGGTCGACGGAGGCAGTATCTAAAAATAACATTGACTATGAATATCAAATGGGAAAAAAAAATCACGACCATCAAAATGTCATGTTTTAAAGTGGCTGACTGCTTGAAGGGGCGGCGCCTTGGGGCGAGGGCGGGCAAAGTTGACCTCGAAGTTGTTACAGCTGCTGTTTTGAAAAAAATTCTGACACGATTGGTCAGCGGCAAGGCCGGGACTCCTGACCGCGGTGGGAAGTTGCCGGCGAAGAACCTTTGCCAATTCGTGTTCCTCGTTCTTTACTTGTCCAGACTCGTTCCCTTCGTTCTTTGCTCTTCGCACTCATTCGCTATGCTTCATTCACTGGCACCAGCCCTGTCGCTCTTTCTTTTCCTTCCTCACGTTTTTGCAGCCTCTGCTGATGAATGGAAGTCGCGTTCCATATATCAAGTAAGCACACTCCCGCCTGCCCTGCGCCTTGTAGTCGATAATCGCGACTACCCCAGATCATTACCGACCGTTTTGCTCTCTCGAACGACTCTTCTGCAACCTGTAATACTGAAGACCGTGTTTACTGTGGTGGCTCATGGACTGGGATTGTCAACCATCTGGACTACATCCAGAATATGGGCTTCGACGCAATCTGGATCTCGCCTATAGTCAAAAATATCGAGGCGGAGACGGCGTACGGGTATGCTTACCATGGGTGAGTCCTACGCGCTTGTTTTTCCCAGCTGCAGACTTAATTCGCATCCTGATAGCTACTGGACGCAGGACATCAACTCTCTCAACTCGCACTACGGTTCCGAGGATGACTTGAAGAGTCTCGCGACTGCGCTGCATGCACGGGGGATGTACCTCATGGTCGACATCGTGGTCAACCAGTGAGTCGCATATATCCTGTTGGGCCCGTTCAGGAGCCAACTCGTTATCAGTTTCGTACAGAATCCTTCAAGCAATTCCTCGACACTCCCGCAAACGTTCGACTACTCTGGCCTGTCACCCTTCTCAGCAGAGACGGATTTCCACACGGAATGTTTCATTAGCGACTATAATAATCAGACGAATGTCGAGCAGTGCTGGCTGGGAGACTCGAAGTACGCTCGCCATTCTTCTCATTGACAGCTTATCAATCTCTATTCTCTCAGTCTCCCACTCATGGATATTGACACGGAGAACAGCACGGTCGTCCAAGAATGGAACTCATGGGTTACCAGTTTTGTTGATACATACAGTATTGATGGTCTCCGGATTGATACTGTCAAACACATTCGCAAAGACTTTTGGCCCGCCTTTGCCTCGGCGGCCGGTGTCTTTACTATCGGAGAGGTGCGTCACCAAATTTTCAAAGCTTGCTCTCTGACTGAATCTCCTGTAGGTATTGACTGACAACGTCACTTATACCAGTGACTATACCCGTAAACTTATCCGGTATCTTGTTGGATCACGTTCTCACATACCCTTCTTCAGAGGTTTTGGACAGTGTTCTAGACTACCCTACCTGGTACCCCGTAACCGAAGCATTTAATACTACATCTGGAAACCTATCAGCCATTCAAAGCGCAGTCACCCAAGCGCAGTCATCATACAAGAACGGCCTATTCGGCACTGGCGCTTTCTTAGAGAATCACGACCAGCCACGATTCCAGTCGCACACCACTGACACGGGCTTGGTTAAGAATGCTATCAGTTTCCCATTCATTCATGACGGTATTCCCATTCTCTACCAGGGCCAGGAGCAGGGGTTATACAGGTTCCTCGGACCCCTCTAACCGCGAAGCGTGCGTTTCAGCGTTCCTCTGATTGGGTGTCTGTAGCCATGCTAAGTGATTTCCCATAGTCTCTGGTTTAGCGGATACCAAGAAGACAAGGACCTCGTCACGCACATCAAAGCTATCAACACTGCCCGACAATTGGCAGTCAATGCCAGTTCTAGCTTCTTGACCACTAAAGTAACGCGTCTCTCTCCGTTTTCTTCAATCTCTCAATTTTTTTCCTAGATGTCCTTCGTCTCCCAAAGCGACATCGGTGCAATTGCCATTTCCAAGCCCCCCATGCTCGCTCTCCTGACAAACGTCGGTTCTTCCGGTTCCGCGTCCTGGAGCGTTTCCGGGATCTATAACAAGGGGGAAACCGTGGTCGATGTGTTGACCTGCAAAACATACACCGTTGACTCGAGTAGTGGCACACTAAGCGCTTCTGCTGAAAGTGGTGCACCAAGGGTGAGTTCTTTTAAGCATAATCGTACGTACAATATGACTGATGAGATGTTAGATCATCCTCCCAACATCAGCGTTGAAGTCCGACGGCACCCTGTGTACGAGCGTCGCAGGCACAAGCGGGGCGATGTCGGTAAACAGCGTTGGTCGGGGCGCGCTACTAGGTATCTCGTTGGTTGCTGGTTTGATCTTGACTTTCTTGTAAAAGACATTTACTGATACGGACACTGGTGCTAAGAACATTTCTTGTGACAGACTAGTGGACTGTTTTATATAATAATCTTATATTGTGTAGAATTTTCTTAAAAGACCTGACGCATCGCAATGCTACATGTATGGTGGGGGTGGATCTTTGAGTTTAGATTTGTACATGAACTAACCTTGTTCTTCTTTCCGTTGCTCACAGGTGACGATTCGACATAAATCTACTGTCTGGCGGTGATTGTCTTGCGAAAGTCACTGAGGATGGAAGCTGGATGTCGGGGAAGTCGATGTTAAGGCAAAGGTTTGAGAACGATGCCTTTGTTCTATCGAAGAATTCAAGGAAAGCTTGGGGTTCCAGCTCAGCAAGTATCCGTATTTCTTTTCGATGTAAGTACATTGAGCTGACAATCAGCACTAGAACGAGAACTGTAGCTTACAGTTACCGGCGTGAACGGTATTCTTGAAGACAATAGTTTGCCCAAATCATTAGTGAGACTCCATCAAGTATTATTTTCTCGTTTCTCGTTTCTGTAGCCATGCTGGTGATCGATTTCCAGTATGGTCAACTTGAGGATGCATAATAGTATCACCACTAATTTGCCACGATTGGGACTCTAGGATACCAATTCGTCTTGGCAAGGAGCAAGAGGAGCGGGAGGTAAAGCATGTTGCAAATCAAAATCAAATGTCAAGTTATGACTCCAGATACTTGAGTAGTGTAACTACTGTCGAACAACAGCATCATGAAAGCTGGTGGATTAGGCATTACTAGGAACGCAAATTCTCTGAACGCCACATGTTAACAAATTCATAGGTTGACTATCGCGACTTACCTCTCCGGTCTGAAGGTTCGAGCACTCGATACCAGGATTGGCCGCTTCGAGACGGTCGATGGTGATACCGCCCTGCGCAGCGATGGCGTAGCAAGTGTCACCGGCGACGACGATGTGGGTGTATCCTGGGGTTCCATTGTCGCACGCAGCTTTGACACCTGAGGAGGAGAAATGAGTAGGAAGGAGAAGCGGGTATGAAGGAACGTACTGGCACTCATGGCCGCAACCGCGATGAAAACAATGGAGATGAAAGCACGAGAGAACATGTTTGAATGTAGCTTTGGATGCTGGATTGTTCAACGAGCTGGGTTCACTTTTATACGCGTTCAAGTCCTAGATCCTACATACCCAGAGTACCAACTTGGTGACCCAAGTATTGCATCGTCGTACTAATGCCCGTGATGATCGTATTCGTGAGCCACTAGTGTCTGACAACCTCAGGATAATTAAAAAAAGCGGGGTTTCCGAGCGCTGCGATCAAAACGGGAGAAGTGATGTCTATGCGCTAGAAGGAGGGTAGGTGCTTCGACTAGCGCAGTAACGGAGCATGAGCTTCGATGTTTTATGGCATGGCACAGTTGAATCATATTCCAATAAGTTTAGCAGCTGAGCGCTGAGCTCTTCAACTATTCCATGGGGGGTGCACAAGAGCACCTACGGTTTGTTAACCGCATTTGTTTATAGTCCAGGGCCTATGGAAATGGAAACAGCGTTCCAGAAAGTAAATATCTGAAGAATAATAAGAATTATTAGAAGGGACGCCGAATTACAGATATCGGGCATTTGTTGGTTGGTCGTGGACAGTGGACACCGGATGTAACAGCGTGGAAGCTCCTAAGCTCCAGGGCAGACTCCAGTCCTTCTTGTTTCTCTATTCTTGCCATCGAGGAGTTCTACGCCGGAGGTCCTTATCTCCTTGGACTGCTCGCACCAGAAGGAACCCGGTAAATGGCGTTGTTACGCATGGTGTTCCTTCCTTTGAGCTTTAGAGCTTCACCGGCTGTCGGTTGCGCCAACTTCTGCTTGAACTTGCCCCGAATCAGAGAAACCGGTATTCCTGCCTGATGGATGTCGGTGATTATCGTCATTGTTCTCAGGTTTAGCGATGGCCCTCCCCACCTGATGGATGACGCTTGTTGGTTATCGTCATTGTTCTCGGGTTGAGCGAGGTTCCTTCCTGCCTGATGGATGTCGGTTCTCATCGTCATTTTTCTCGGGTTTGAGGACGGTGGTTGTCATCTGTTTTTGCTGTCCTTGTTTTAGCCATCGCGCGGCAGTTTTTTGGCCACAGACCATCCGTCCCACGTCGGAGAACACTGAGCCGTCGTACTTGTCTCATAATAACCATGGTTCCCGCTCATCGCAAGACTCTCACACGTCTTAGTGTATCATCGCATATCCTCGCTATCGAGGTCCTTCGTTGGGGG